TACACATCGTGCTCCCTTATCTCTTTCTAAATAGGGTTCTTAAAACTATAGACAAGCCCTCTGAGTGAGACATAAACAAGCATTGCAGTTTGAAAGAATTTTCCTTAACAAAAAAGTATTTTTTTGCTAATCCTCCTTCTGCAAGGCATCTCATATGGGTACTGGTTCATGTCCTGGTCATTCCACTTCCCATCAGGTTCCCTGCTTATGGCCTGGGAAAGCAGCAGAAGATAGCCCAAAGCCTTTGAATGCTGCACCTACATGGGAGACCTAAAAGAAGCTCCTGGCTTTGAATCAGCTCAGCTTTGGCTGTTGCAGCCATTTGGGAAGTGAATCAGTAGATGGAAGGTCTTTCTCTCTGTTTCTGCTCTGAAAAATCTACCTTTCCAATAAAAATAAACAGATCTTTTAAAAAGCATTTGTTTCCTCATCACTGAACCCTTTTGGTGACCAATGGCTTCTGACTGGCAAGGAACATATCACTATTTTTACCCAACACAGCAGACCTTAAAAGTGAAGAGTGGTCACAGGGGAGGAAATTGGAGTAGATAAATGTCAAGGAAGGTAGAGCTCCAGTAGAAACACCTGGCTCAGCCTGGTGAGATAGCCTGCTGGCTAAATCCCCTCTTTTCGACCACCAGGATCCCAGTGGGGTGCTAGTTCGTGTCCGTGTTTCAATTTCTTCACTTCCCTTCCAGGTCCTTACTTGTAGCCTGGGAAGGCAGTAGAGGACCCTGCACCTGCTTGGGAAACCCGGAAGACACTCCTGGCTTCAGATTGCTTAGCTCTGGCCGTTGCAGCCACTTGGCTGGGGGGGGGGGGGGGGAGCGAATGGGCGAACAGAAGATCTTTCTCCCCTCCCTTTGTTTCCTTATGTCTGTAAATCTGCCTTTCCAATAAATCTTTTAAAATAATTAAAAAAAGAAACACCTGGCTCTTCCAATTGTATATTCCCCCAATGCCCTGGGAAAGACCTGGTAGATCTCATGACATTTTTTTTTCAGCCATTAGACCAACTCACACATGTTTTTTCCCTCCCAGAAGGTGTCAAATAACATGATCAGCAGTGGGCTTAAGAGAGATGAGGACGACCTTTGGAGATCCTGTCACCATAGCGCTTCATCACAGGTCACAGAGCCACAGCCCCAACCTTCCTCCTTCTTCCTCTCGGAGACAGACCAGATAAGCCCTGGACCAGATAAGGCCTGGACTGTTGGGTGATACTGTCTCTCCCAGTCTACTGACTGACCTATGTGCCTACATGTGTTTGAGTGGGAGCTATAAAAACCAGGGAAAGGATGCCTCAAAAAAAAAAAAAAAGCTATTTCTAGGCCATAAATAGTGATTGGATCGCTGCTTTGATCTGACCTAGTGCACCTGCATAAATCTCTGGGCTCAAGTGGCAGGAGCCACCTGGGGCCACAGTGCAAATCTGATAGGGGAGGGAAAATGATCACAATTCCCATCACTCCCTGCTGGGCTGGGCGGTGGGAGTCACCCCTCATGGTTAGCATAGAGCTTGTGCTTAGCACCCTGGTTAGACACCTCAGTCTAGCCCAGCAACACTGTGTGGCAGCTCTGCTACGCAAGCAGGTATCTGATACCAAACAGATCTGCACGAATGTTTTCCCACGAATCAATCCACTATCGGCTCTATTCATCATATTTCAATCGTTGAGTATGTGTGTGAGAGGGAAGGGGTTTGAGGGAGAGGGGATGTGAGGGGCAGATTCTTCCCTCTACTCTTGTCCAGAAGATTTTATTATTAGAAGATTTATTTGTTTTTTTGTTTGAAAGTCAAAGTTATAGTGTGAGAAGGAGAGACACAGAAAGATCTTTCAGCTGATGGCTCACTCCCCAAATGGCTGCAAAGGCCGTTGCTAGGCTGGCTTGAAGTCAAGAACCAGGAGCCTCTTCCAGGTCTCCCATATAGGTGCAGGGTCCCAAGTACTTGGGCCATCTTCTGTTGCTTTCGTAGGTACATTATTCGCAGGGAGCTGAATCAGAAGTGGAGCAGCTGGGACTCAAACTGGTGACCACATGGGATGATAGTGCTGTAGATAAACTATGGTGCCAGCCCCCCAGCAGACTTTTTTTGTGTTAAATTAAGGCAAGGTACTCTGAGGGATAAGCAGGGAAACAGCCACAGATTTTGCCATAAAGAAAGCCTTTATTAATGAGAAAGAAGGAACTAAAACATTGCACTCACATGGTAGACCTGGAGGAAACTCTTGGCCTCCAACCAGCATAGCTCCAGCCATTGCGGCCATGTGGGGAGTGAACCAATAGGTGGAAGATCTTCCCGCTGCTCCTTCTCTGTAGCTCTGCCTCTTAAATAACATAAATAAGTCTTTTATTTGAAGATTCATTTATTTTTATTGCAAAGTCAGATATACAGAGAGGAGGAGAGACAGAGAGGAAGATCTTCCATCTGTTGATTTACTCCACAAGTGACCACAATGGCCGGTGCTGCGCCGGTCCAAAGCCAGGAGCCAGGAGCCTCTTTCAGGTCTCCCACATGGGTGCAGGGTCTCAAAGCTTTGGGCCGTCCTCAACTGCTTTGCCAGTCCACAATCAGGGAGCTGGATGGGAAGTGGGGTTGCTGGGATTAGAACCGGTGCCCACACAGGTTCCTGTGCATTCAAGGTGAGGACTTTAGCTGCTAGGCCACCACGCCAGGCCCCATAAATAAATCTTTTTAAAATGCTTTAAAAATTTTTTTAAAATGAGGTGAGGAGTTGGGGGTGGGAGTCAATGGGATAGAAAACGTTGGAATTAATAAAATGAAATTTTACAAAATTTCTATGATAGGCTTTACTTTTGTTCTCCCCTGCTTGTATCAAATGGGAGCCTGAGGAGATGCTACTATTTTTATTTATTATTTTTTTAAGAGTTATTTTTATTATTTTTTATTGGAAAGGTGGATATACAGAGAAGAGAGACAGAGAGGAAGATCTTCCGTCCGATGATTCACTCCCCAAGTGAGTGCAACGGCCGATGCTATGCCGGTCCGAAGCCAGGAGCCTCTGGCTGCTGGGATAGAACCGGCGCCCATACGGGATCCCGGGCGTTCAAGGCGAGGACCTTAACCACTTGCGCCACCGCTCCGGGCCCGATGCTACTATTTTTAAAAAAGGATTTATTTATCTGCAAGACAGAGTTACAGAGAGGAGGAGAGCCAAACAGAGATCCTGCATCTGCTGGTTCATTCCCCAGGTGGCTGCGCTGCTGGGAGGGGGCCAGGCTGAATGCAGGAGCCTGGAGCTCTATGCACGACTCCACGTGGCAAGGGTCCAAGCTCCTTGGCTATCTTCTACTGCTCTCTTAGGCACATCATCGGGGATCTGAACCAGCAGCCAATTAACCAAAACTTGAACCAGCATCCATGTGTGCTGCTGGGATTGCTGCTGGCAGTTTGACCCATTTTTTAAGCACTTTTTAAAAAAAGATTTATTTATTTTTATTACAAAGTCAGATATACAGAGAGGAGGAGAGACAGAGAGGAAGATCTTCCATCCGATGATTCACTCCTCAAGTGAACGCAATGGCTGGTGCTCTGCTGATCCGGAGCCAGGAGCCAGGAACCTCCTCCAGGTCTCCCATACGGGTGCAGGGTCCCAAGGCTTTGGGCCATCCTCGAGTGCTTTCCCAGGCCACAAGCAGGGAGCTGGCTGGGAAGTGGAGCTGCTGGGTTTAGAACCGGCCCCCATGTGGGATCCCGGCGATTTCAAGGCTAGGACTTTAGCTGCTAGGCCACCGCGCTGGGCCCCAGTTTGACCCATTTTAGCACAACTCTGGCTCCATGCTCTTATCCTCCAAAACAGTTCAGTCTCCCAACAGCAAATGGGAGACATGCCAGTCACTGCAATCACCCTTCAGCTGTCAGCATAGCACAGACATTTACTTTCCCAAAGGAATGCTCAGGTTTGGGAAGTTCTGGCCAGTTAGCAACATCAGGAGTAGTAAGTAGTGCAATATCAAGCAGATCCTGTGATCTGCTCTAGCTAAATCTGTTTGTGGATTACCCAAGCAGCTGGGCTGAATATAGCTGGCCCTTGCATGACTCAGAACTCCTCTAAGGACTTGAGAGAAATTCACACGGATGCTCTTTGCTCCTGAAGTTAACAGGCTTTAAAAGGTCATGGCCAGGAAGCAGCACCAGGACAACCCCTTCTCCCCCAGTCTTTCCCATCCATCAGACGGCCAAGTACCTCACAGTGTTCCCAGTCAGGGATGAAGGCCAAATTAAGACAAAGCTAATGTGAAAAAAAATATTTGTAAAGGAGATAGATCATGGACTCAGTGGAGGATGCCCTACCAAAAGCTGGATTGCCCTAAAGACAGTGAATCGTGAGTTTGCAGCAATCCCCTCCCACATCTGCCGGGACCCTATTGATAACGGTGCTTTACCAGGGATTTTCTCCAGCTAGTTTCAAAAGGGGAGGGAACATGCTGAGGCATGGGTGAAGATGAAGAACCAGTGAGATTAAAAAGCCTTTCTTCAGACCATCAAGAAACCAGTGGGTGAGCAGGAGGCGAGCAACTGGAGCGCTATGTAGCATGCAGTGTGCTTGGACTAAGCATGGAGCAATCACTAACAAAATTGTGCATACTGTGTGGTGACTGTGTGATTTCAACTGAGATGTATTAGGGTCAATGCCAATCCCTCTAAGTATGGGATGACCAGGTAAGCACCTGGCGTGGGACTGGAGGCCCCTGAATGTGGCTTGGCGGAGTACCTCTTTGATGGGCAAGCCACCCTGAGAAGCCGCAGCCTTATCTCCATGGTCCCGGGGGTTGGGGTGAGGTGGGTAAGGTAGGATTTTCACAGTATCCACAGCCGCGCAGACACCTTGGGGTGACTTTCATGTTGTGTATAAATTATGCAAACACTTTCATTTGAATTCTTTCATTTAGAGTTGGTATCATTCCTTTCAATGGAAATGACTGGGAACCCGCCCCCGCAACAAGACCAAGCAAAGCAAAAACAGGAATGCTACCTGCCATCAAAGAAGAAGAACTTCCCTCGGCCATTTTTTTCTCCATGGACAAAGTTCCCCTCAAATCTGTCAGTGGAGGAGTAGGTGACCGTGCAGAACCCGTGAGGTAATCCGTCATCATCCAGGTGTCCTGGAGAAAGGGATCACAATGCAAATGTTAACATGGCCAGGCTCAGAGGCTGCCAGGCAAGCCTCACCCCCACAGTTCCCACACCTAGGGGCTCCTTCTCTGCAGGAGGGGCCGGTGACCTCAGAAAGGTTTCTCACTTCATCTGTGTTTGCAATGTCAGCTTGATGGTTATGTGCATTGTGTGAGCCCAACTGATAGGACTCAGCACTTGAACTTCAGGTTTGTATTTGCCATGGAACTGGGGTTTATTATCAGTCATAACATCCGCAGGACATGTTACAATTTTCCAAGTACTTTGCCACGCAATACTTCACAATTTGGAGTGAATGTCCCCAACCGCTCACACTCAGCTGCCATGTGCTAAAGATCATGGTGTGTGATGACCTATTACCAGATACCTGGTCTTTGAAATAAGCTGTGCAATCCCAGAACACTTGGCAATCTGATTTATGTGTCCTACGACACGATGAGGAGAAGTGCTAGGTAGCTTGGAAATCCCAGGATGATGTGTGACCCTCACGAGAGGGTCAAAAATGGACCTAATATTTATACATCTAATGGTGCAATCACATATACTTAAGATAAGCCTTAAGCATGCTGCTATATCTTACAAAATTGTTAAGCTTTGAATGCCTAGGATTAGCCTCACCATATACCTGCTACCACTGAATGTCAGAGGCCTGTATTCTACACACAGCTGGAAGTACCCTGGGCCCTGTGAGCAGTAATTCTGAACACCCACACCCCTGCTCTCCAAGCCTCTGCTTCTGCCAGGTCACAGGTTGGCATTTTTTCTTTTCTTTTCTCTTCTTTTCTTTTCTTTTTTTCTCTTTTCTCTTCTTTTCTTTTCTTTTCTTTTCTCTTCTTTCTTTTTTAAAGAAAGATTTAATTATTTTTATTGGCAAGGCAAATTTATAGATGGAAGGAGATACAGAGAGAAAGATCTTCTGTCTGTTGATTCACTCCCTATGTGGCTGCAATGGCTGGAGCAATTTCCCTCCTTCCTGCTTCCCCTTTTCGCACGTCCTCAGGGGAGCTTAGGTGTTGCTTAAGCATTGGGAAAGTGCTGGGAGGGGCCAAGCAGACTATATAAGAGCAGTTCAACTTTGAATAAGGGGCTTCACTTCACAAGAATGAGCCTCGGTGTGTTGTGTGTTGTCTGTCTTGTCTGTCTCATAACCCTAGTCCCTCTGCTCGGCTTGGGGTATGTGGCGACGCGGGCGTTGCCAACAGCAGAGGAGCTGCCAAGTTCCTCCTCAGAACCTCTCTCAATACCACATCTCATGCAAACTGGTGGGTCCATAGACTAGCCCTACTTAGTCCACCTTCTATTCTAGCAGGAACAGTGGCCTTTCCTGACTGGTCCTTACGCTTTTCGGTTTTTACTGTTGGGTACTACAGCCCAGGCCTGGTCCACACCCAGACATAGCTCACTCATGGCTCAGCAGGGACGTAGTCTTAGCCCAGGCTATCCTAAATCCATCCTTATTCTCATGAGCTCCAGTGGGTGCTGGAGTCTAGCCCAGTCTTGTTGACCCCAGACCCAGTCTACATCATGCCAAGAGAGACTGCTTCCATGCCCGAACTAGACAGCAGCCCCCACTCTGGCCCTCATAGTCACCAGTGGGAACTACGACCCAGTCAGGGCCTCCCATTAGCTCCCCAACCAGGCCTGTTACCAGCCACAGATCTCACACATTGACCTAGCTTGGCATAGCTCCCCACCCATCCCCTGGCCTTTGCTTAGGATGCTACAGCCTGGCCTGACCCAGCCTGCCCCCAGTCCCAACTCTTGCTGGTGGGTGCTGCCTGGCTTTGCTCAGTCTGCTCTCATCCCTGGCTCTTGCGAACCGGCAGGTGTGCTAGCCTTGCCCAGCGTGACCTGCACTCCAACTTGGTTTCTCCACTTGCTGGTGGGCTAAGTTCTGCTCGGCCATGAGACTGGCATTTCCTGTTTCTAGTCTAAACAGTTGATGTTTAGATTGTTTACTGCATATTTCACAAAAAAAAAAACCAAACAAACCAGAATCACCGTGTGGATGTTGCCCTACAGTTGTTCAGGTGAGTTGATTTTGGAGAGATGGGTAAAATTCAGTTAATCTACTGACTTTCCTGAATCATCAGTTTGGGTCATAGATGGAAGAGGTACGTGAACATTAAAAACCATGTATAGTGCAGGAACATGAAACAACTTTAATGTGGCATCCAGATGGTTCATAGACATAAAGGAAAACAAGCCAAATGAATGCTTCAGTTTCTAAAGCAATTTTTTGTAACTGATAAAAAATATTATCCCCTGGAAGAGATGATAAGTCAATGATCTTAAAGAATAAAACATTCCCTGTTTGTGTTACTGAGTACACAAACATGAAATAACAACCACCCAATGCCATGTTCTATTATGTGAGACTGTATAAAATAAGTTGCTTAGAGTATATTACAATAAAACATGGCCACATAAATAATTTATCATTGATACAGTTCCTTTCCTCTTAATGCAAAATTAATGGTCAGGAGGAACTAGGCTACAGTTGCTCAGAAGCAATGGTACAAGATACAATTCAATGGTACTTGCGTTGGGTGGAACTATTTGGACGGTTATCTCTTAGATACCCACTGATGGAATTTTTCTCACCAAAATAAATTACACTTGTTTTTTTTCTTTTCCCTTTCTTAGAAAAAAAATGGGGCAGGCATTGGGTGTAGCAGTTAAACTCCTGCTTGGGGACCCAGCACAGTAGCCTAGTGGCTGAAGTCCTCACCTTGCACATGCTGGGATCCCATATGGATGCTGATTCATGTCCCAGCAGCCCCACTTCCCATCCAGCTTCCTTCCTGTGGCCTGAGAAAAGCAGTGTGTTTTGGGATCAAACTAAATGCAGCCTTTAACACTCTTAGGAATTTTGCATGCTGTCTTTTAATTTAGGTTTAAAAATCAGAATAATCACTTTAGCTTCATAGTAGACCATTTACTAATTTGCATTCTTGATAAGAGAAAATCTCAAAAAACCCATGAAAAAATGGAATTAGAAGATAAATTTGGGTGCAAAAAGTTTTTACAATCTATGTGTTGTTTTCTGCTGAACGTTTTGCAAATCCCTTGTATAAAATAGTTCACAGACCTTAAAAAGTTGATATTTAATAAAATTTGTGATTCTACTTTAGATCAAGAGAAATATTATCATAATTGCAAACATGGACAGGAACATACAAGGAAAAATTCCAGCATCCATTTGTTTCCACCTTCCTTTTGCACTGTCCTATTTCTGAATAAAATACAGCAAGTGCACTCCCAGCAATGGGATTTAGACACTGGAGAAAATCGACAGTGTCACGTAACACACTAAAAGCACTTGGATCTCAATGCTGCTCCGACTTAGGAGATAACAAAAGCATCAACTGCACTCCATGAAGGATCCTGCTTTCGGTATCTTTCAATAGGATAGTGAAGAGATCTTAAGTTCTTGCAGGAAAGAAAGAAAATGGAGAGGGAGATCAGGAGGAAGAAAGAGAGAGCGAGAGCAAGTGAGTGCACGTGAGAAAATATGACTGCACCACAGCCACTTCGCAGGGGACCGTGTGCCGTCAGAAGCAGGTGCCCGAATGTTGGACCCCCTTCCTGCCATCTCCAGAGTCCGTAGGCTGCTTGCTCTGAGCAGCTGTGAATCCTCCCATCAGACCAGGGTCTCCTTCTTGGCAACGCTTTCCTTTTCACCCTAGGATGTAGTTCATTAAAGGGAACTAGATATTAGACATTGCGATCATTCAAAACTTCCATGTCAAATATTGACTAGCCCAAAGTGGTCTTCCTGGCAGCAGATCTTTATCTCTAAAGCAGTGATCACAAACCAAACAGCACGCACATAAGGACTTGCCAAGCCAACCTCTCCCCTCCCCTCAAAAAAGAAGACACTGGGTTACTGTATCCTGTACGCTCACCCCTCTTTCCACTGTCACTGCTACCAGAGATTCTAGTGCCAGTGCAACTCGTTCGTTCAAGTGCCATGTCAACAAGAAGATCATGTAATATGCTGTCTTAATACAGTTGATTTCATTAAAAACAGTTTTTTAGATTTATTTATTTGGGATGGTGGGGCAAGAGATCCCAACCACCTATTCATTCCCCAAGAGTCTATAGTACTTTTACATGTTTATGGGGTATAGTGCAACATTTCAATATGCATATACAGTGTGATCAGGTAATCAATATATTTCCATTTGTTTATATTTAAACAAATATTTGGAGTCCTTGTGTTCTTCTCTCTGCAGTGTTACTGCATGTAGTGAGGAGGTATACTGGTAGAGAAGAAAAATTTTATGCACCTGTCGTGTATCTGGCAGTGGTTTACATGCTTTCCTGTTATCACATTCAGACCTCACAACAGTCCCACAAATTTCCATCTTGTAGACAAGGATGCCAAGACTATGGCCTTACTTAAGAGACATTTTAAGCACTCTGAAAGTGCTGATGAAAGCTGGGAACCTCTTCCCAAACTCGGACTCCCTTTCTCTCTAGACAAAGGCAAAGTGGCTGAACACCCTTTTTCCCTGTTTACGGTGGAGGAAAGTGCCTCTTAAAACATAAGGAGTCCCCAGAAAGTAGAAGACTTTAGAATTAAGATCACTGTCACAAAACTACCAGGATTTCAACTGCATATGCTGGCTGCAAATTCTTATCTCTTCCAACCCATTCCCTGACTCAAAGACAAACATTGGTCCTCCCAGCGCTGATTGAGGTCAATTCAGAAAATGCGCCAAGTCAGCCAACAGCCTTCCGGGCCAGTTCCTGTGAAACAGAGGGCAAGCACCAGGCCCAAATAACAGAGAAAATTAACTTGAATGACTGCCCTGTGTTTACAATGCTGTTCCAACTGCTATACAGTTATCTGTCCCCAGCTGGATCTTGAATATTTATAGAAGTTAAAGGAGGGGGCGAAGGGGGGACAGGGAGGAAGGGAAGAAAAGTTAACAGTTGATAAGCCTACCCCATTCTCTCTCTCTTTTTAAAATTGTTCTAAAGAACTGATAGAAAGTTAAATTGTTTCCTGTCAGTTACTTCTAAGCAAGCCTTTTGCTTGTCCTGACAAGAGCCAGGCCTGTGTTGTGCACAGGGAATGAATTCTCAGCAAAGAAAGCCCCCTCCACATCAGTCAGACATGACTGCTGACTGCATCGGGCCTACTGCTAGATCCAAGCACACCATGCACGCCTGTATGTGTGTGTGTCCAACAGAACAAGGGACTCTCTCACTCACTGTTGGTTTTGTAGACACTGTTTAAAAAAAAAAAGCAATCACAAAAGGCATGCTTATTCTGGAATGCAGAGGACGCAGACTCTTTATGCATGCAGTTTTAATGGCTGTTAAGATCTACTTTTACTTTTGAGGAGAATTCTTTTGCAAGAAGAGCACACTTATCTAGGATGAGGATCATAACGATTTTTAAATTCTTTTGTTATTATCTATTTATCTATTTATTTATTGTTCTTTTGAGGGTCATAACGTTAACATCTATTTTGCAACAAGAAACTGGTATCTGCTTCCTCTGCATGCATTTTCCACAGGTCATAGTGGGAGCAGGTTTACTAGGGATGGGACCCTTTCTTAGGGGCTTTTTGTATAAAATATCCTCAATATTTTGACTAGGCTGGCACAGTGTAAAGCTGTGATGCCATCCCATACAGTGGTCCTCTAATTCAGGGATTCTAACAGCTCCCCTCTTTGAGCATTTTTCCTCCATGTCTGACAGGCTTCTAGGCCTTTCTGCTTTTCCACACCTAACCTCTTCCAAGAGCCACTGAGCGGATATCCTCACATACTACTCCAGTCCCCTCAACTGCCCCCGCTCACACCTGCTGTCCAGGGCTCTGACGTTGTCACTCACAGCTCTCAAGAGTCCCTTCCACTCCCAGCAGCTTCTGCAGCTTCCAGCACAGGTAGCACCCTTGCTGCTTTTCCCTGTCTTATCCTCTTCTCCCAGCAAGCCACATCACAGTAGGACTGAATGTTCTTGCTTTGGGTGTGTCTACCCAATCCTATGCCTCTGTGCCTTCACTGAGTTGCTCTCTCAACTTCACTCTGTGCCACCTCTCCTGAGAAGTCTTCCGTTAGCTCCGTGCCCAAGCTAGAAGTCACTTATTTCCGTTCGACCACTACAGTTCATTAATGGAAGCACAACCTCTTTTACTCAAAGCCATACTAGGAACCACAGTACATTCACCTTTATCTGTGTCTACAAGTTGACAAAGAAATAAACACCGCAAATATTGGTTGCCAAAGGCCCTGAGGAATAGCACTGGAAAAAACCCAATGCTCCATGCGGGGCCAAGGAGCTTCCAGGTGTTTGTAAGAAGCTGCCCTCCAGGGAGCTCTCAGGCCCTCTGGGGCTTCCCCAGGGAAGCTCAGCATCAGCAGGTGCACAGATCCTGTCCCACGTGGCTTCCCCCACCCACCTGAGCCACCAGGGGAGTCATCCAGCCTGAGTTTAGAATCTCATCCCAGCTATAAGCCAAAATATATGTGATATAGATGACAGTTGACAACAGTTTATTGGAGGGGCAGAGCAACAGAGAGTGCGTGCGAGAGAGAATGCTCCTGGACCCACCGGTTCAGTCCCTGAATGCTTGCATGGAGCAGGGCCGAGGCTCCAGATGGAGCCAGGAGATGGGGATGCAATCCAGGTCTCCCGCAAGGGTGGCAGGAGCCCAGCTGCTTGAGTCATCACTGCTGCTTCCAGGAGCTGCGTATGCAAGAACCCTGGAGCAGGAGTCAAAACTATGCATTGAATCTACGCCCTCCCCTAGGGAAGGCTCAACCCCTGAGCACTTGAAGCACCTGCCCCTTAACACTTAAGTCCTGAAGAGACCAATTTCCTCTCCCATGGAAGCTTTTACTGAAGAAGAGAAAGTGTTTCTATTGCAAAGGTTAAAAGTTCACTTTTCTTAACAGACACAACCTTCAAGGGCTGGCGCAAGTGGTATAGCACACCAATCCTTTTCCTGTGTTGCCATCTCATGTGGGAATTGGTTTGAATCCTGACTGCTCCACTCCCTATCCAGCTCTCTGCTTAAGACTTGGGAGGGCAGCAGAGTCTGCCCTGAGTTTTGGACCCCTGTACCCAAATAGGGGACCCAGAGAGAGGCTCCAGGTTCCTGGCTTCAAATCAGCTCAGCTCCTGTCAGTGCAGCCACTTGGGGAGTGAACCAGAAGATGGAAGAGCGTTCTGTCTCTGCTTGTCACTGTAGTCTGTCTTTCAAATAAAAATGAATAAATCTTAAAAGTAAAGAACTCCAGAGGGTAATTTTTATTTAACTTTTTGATGTTACCATATGCTATTTAACTATTGCTTCTAATATGAAGTTTATTGCAAATGCTTTACTGTCATCCAAATGTTAAACAATGCAGAGCACGGGGACCGCTTAGTATGCAAAGGTGGGTTCTGGGAGTCTGTGTGCCCCCGCCTTGAGGGTCCTTGGTTTGGTTCTTCACAATTCAACGTCTCAACTTCCCCCTCTAGAAAACCGGGCTAATATTAGTAGTCATTTCATGAGACTTAATGGATCTGTGAAACACTGCACACAGCCTGAACTTCATGAGAACTAAACAATTATAGCAACGATAATAATAGCTGTGACAATGAAACAACTGTTTATGGAAAGCCCGAGAGAGGTCAGGACTGACATACTGAGGAGATATCCAGACTAGCTTCTCTTTGGGAAAAGATACTAAGTAGTTTAGCTTAGCCTGACACACACGTTTTGGATATTACATGAAGACCATGGCAACGGGCCAAGCCTGGCTGGAGCAAGCCGATTGGTGCAGCTACTACTGTCAGGCTCCAGGTACTGTGCAAGTCTGAGCTGAGACAGGGCTAGCAACTTTCAAAGATTCAGGGTGTTGGCGACTTCCCCAGATATTTAGTTATTTCCACATACTTGTGAACAGCACCCCCGCTTCCCCTTGGCCCTCATTCCCAGGAGTCTTGATTTAGGACAAGGATTAAAGGCTCACTGTGGCCCTCAGAAACTGCCCTGTTCGGGTCCAGAGAGCCAAAGAAACACTGATCAAGTTCTGAAGCTTTTGTTTTCACTGCCAAGGAGACTGAGGCCGGTGGTGGAGAACTTACACGGTTCTTAACAGATGCAAAGCCAGAGGTGACTTAACCTGGGCTCAGGGCTTCGTGTTCCGTTTACACACAGAAAAGGAACCTTGGCACAGCCTTTTGTAACGCGGGCACAGCAGAAGGCCAACCAGCTAAACTCACAGGCACAACCCAGTCCACCACCCTGGCTCCCAGCAAGCCCCACACCAGCGTTCCAGCCGGAGCTCACAATAGACTTTTATTTTCTTCCTCCTAACAAAACAAACCCACCCTTTAAATGTGAACATTTACAGCCGGTTGGACACCTGACTCAGAAATCCTGTTCCACTCCAGCTCATCCCGAAACTTCAGGAGCCCTGTCAGGGCAGTTATGTGAAGGAAAACATAAAAACCGGATTTTCCCAGAGCAGCAATAACTATGTATCCTTAATGCGTTTGTACGGCGATGGCAATGCCAGTTTATTTTCTTTATGGCTTGCGAGAACTTCTAGATATAAATCAGAAAATAAAACCACATAAACACACACAGACACACACACACACACGCACACACACGCACACACTGAGCTGGCAGCTAAATCTTATTTACTTAGATGCACCGTTTAAAATACCGTGGCGCAACACCACCCAGCAGCCGGAGACATCACGACGCGTTGTCTGGGGCAGAACCGAATTCATCAACAAGCGCCTTTCCCATATTCGCTGTTACAAAATCATAACCTCTCAAGGCACAAACAGTGAGATTGTATAACGTCCCTCGCTGTGGTGGTTTTTTTTTTTTTTTTTTCCCCTGGAACTAGGAAGAAAGAGGTGGGGAAACTCAGCTACTCAGCGGCCAGAGAAGTCCGGGGAGGGGCGGAGAGCGCGACGCCGATGCGGTGATGTCACCCGCGGCCAGCAGCAGGGAATTCAGAAAGTTGAGTGTCACTCGGCAACGTGGGTCCGGCCCGCCGTGAGCCCGCACTGCGCGCCGCGGAGGGGGAAGGGCGGCGCGGCCGAGGTCGCCCGGGGGCAGCCGAGGCCACGAGCCGTCGCCTTCCGGACGGCGCGCGCGTTCGAGTCCCGGGTCAGGAGTGTCGTCCTGGGCCCGGTCGTGATCTCATCTTTTTGGAGAAGCGGCCCAGGCGGCTGTGGCGGCCACGTGCCTGGTCCGGCCGCGTGCGCCACGCGGGGCTGCGGGCGGGGGATGGGGTGGGGAAGAGAGGCCAGGGGAGGGGAGGGGAAGGGACTGTCACCCGGACGCGGCCCGTGGTGGCCGTGGTGGCCTCGGGCCATAGCAGCGTGCGGAAGGAAAGGGTTGGCTGCCAAAATTGGGGTGAGGGGTTGGAGAAGGGGGGCACAAGGTGGAGACCGCCGGCCTCGGGGGCAGCCCACGCCGCGGGAGCACCTCCACCCTCCATTCCCAACCCCGGGAAGACAAGCGCAAGGCTGAGGTGGCAACTCCGCGGGCGGATGCAGGCTGCGGCCGGGCGTTCCTGGCGTCCCCGATCCCGGCCTGCGCCCCGTTGGCTCGGTGTGCGTTCCCGGCGTGGCCCGGGCAGCCCGGCCGGTCCCCGCCCGAGCCCCCGCGTAGGGGAGAGCGGCGGCCGCGGGGCCCGGGGCGCAGCCCCGCCGCTCCGGCCTCGCTCCGGGAGCACTGGCCGTCGCCTCTCTCCTACACTCCTCCGTCCCCCCATCCCGGCTCCCGGAGAATCGCTGTACCTTCCACAGCCTCCTCCACCATCTCGTCGTCGCTGTCCATGGCGGCCGGGGACCCTTCCCAGCCCGGGGCCGTGCGGCAGCCTCCCGTGCCTCTGGCTGCTCCGGCGACTGAGCGAGCGCTGGGGCTGAGCCCTGCGAGTTTGGAGGAGGAGGAGGAAGAGGAGGAGCAGTAGGGGCTGGCTCGCACTGCCTCCCCCTACAGCGTTTTCATTCCTCGGTCAACAGCTGCTGGTGCAGCCGCCGGCCCCCTCCCTTCGTCCGGCTGCCCCTCGCCGGAGAGTCTCCTGGGTGCAGCCGTCACCGCCTGCAACTTTCTCCTGTGGTTCCCCCCTTTGTTGTCGAGCAGCTGATCCGCTGACATCACCCGGCGCCGGTGCGCTCCCTCCCTCGCTGATTGACAGCTCCCCGTCCCTTCCCAGAAGTGAGGCTCCTGAAAACCAGAGGCGCTCTCCCGGAGTGGGGGATGCGTTCTCCTGGCGCCGCAGCCAGCGGACCCCCCGCGCGGCTCCCTGCCTTGTGCGCGCCTCGCTTGGCACTCTAGGAGCACGCTACGCGGTCCTGGCCGGCGCGCGGGACCACCCGGTAGCCGCCTTCAGGATTGGGGACGGGGGCTCTCCTGACCTCCGGCGGCGACTGGGGCTACCGTCCCCGCGCAAAAGCCTCTCAAGTCCGGGGGAAGCTTAGGAAGTGTTACTGAGCCCTGGCACCCAGACCGCCTCTCGCCCTCGCCAACACCCCCGCCTCACCCCGTGTGCCACCGGAACCGCGGCGGCGCCGCACACACGCTGGCGCAGGTGTCCCCGCGGCCTCGCCTCTTCTCCCGGAGCCGAGTTCGGGAAGAATGCACCTGACGCCCTCCCCACCTCCAACCCCAGCACACAAGCAGATATTCCTCGGCCTCGCCCTACGACCGTGAGTCCGGTTAGGGTAGTTGAACCATCACCTCCGTTTTCTCCAGTCGCGGGGGCAACCCAGCGTCCCAGTCTCTCCTTCAGTTTGCCAAGCCCGCGAGCGATCCAGACCTTTGTCACGTCGAAATGGCAGCGGGGTCTCCGTCGGGCTCGGCGGATGGGGTTATGGACAAGGAAGTACCAAGCGGAGCAAAGGGGCAGAGCCACTTGGCCAGCGTGCCTCTCGTGTTCTGACCGGTGTGTCCCGGTTTCTCCTAGGGCCAACCACTCTGCAGTCAGGCGTCCTCAAGCGGAGAAAACCGCCGGATATCGGGTCTTCGGGGTCCGTGCTTACGGCGCTGCGGCGCACAGGTGGCGGTGAGCAGCCGGGAGCACGGGTACGCGGCCCGCGACTGCAAGCAGTGAGCCACAGGAAGGCCAGGACCGCCAGGGGCCTCTAGCACCGGGGAAGGGGTGTAGCGGGTGGTGAAGAAAGTTTCTCCCTTTTGTTTTCGAACAATGAATGACTTGGGATGCCCGAGTATTTCGGTACCCGGGAGATCGACCACTGCTTCGCTTTTGCACTGTGTTGCAAAGCGAAGTGTTTTGCTCTTGGTTTGGTTTTTTTAATCGAGTGTTGCCCGCTTGTGGTTGTGTGTGTGTGTGTTGAATATTCAGATTCTCCCCTGTGAAAATGTGTGTGTGTGTGTGTGTTTGTGTACGTTGAATATTCAGCTTCTCCCCTGTGAAAAAGAGGACCTGATTAGGAAATGCGAGTTTTGTAACACTGCCAGGAGCTTTACCCCTGTTGCCTGTAGTGGAATGGCAGGGCACAGTCCTGGACCTGGAGTTGTAAAGCTTGGATCTTGGGGCGGAGCATCTGCTTAAGGTACCTCCCAGGCTGCCCTAGCCCCGACCTGAATTCTGCCTCCTGGAGATTAGAGACTTAAGCTGTAGGGCCACAAGGTCATTCTGGCTCAGGCCGAGACACTGAGATCCCCTGGGTCAGATCTGACCTGCTTAAAGCCCTGGCATATAGCTTCCTGGGTCTCGAGGCTACCTCGGAGCAGGTGTTCCTGTGGTGGAAAGTGCCACCTCAGATTACTTAATCTTCAAATGAGAACCAAAGAAACAGGGCTTTATCTTTTAAGAAAATCATTTACTAAACATGTTCACTTGGTGCTCATGAATTATGATTTTTTTTCTTATTTTCCCTTTTCACATATTATGATTTCCCTAATGCATTATAAGGATTTAACCCCCTCCATCAGATACTCAGTTCCTCCCAGTTTCCAGTTTATTTGCATGGGTCAAAGGGGCGGGGGAAGATCCTGAAAGTTGAAAGAAGCAACAATATATACATATTTTCCTTTCTTTACAAGAGGTGAGGCACTGAGGGGAGAGTGGGTTGGAAGAAATCTTGCCTCAAAGCACACCAGTTCCTGGTGCGTGGGGTGGGGAGGGATAGGAATATGTCACAGGTGTCCTATCCCTATCTTTAGACTCAGGGGAGGACGCCCAGCTGTCCCTTGGCTGCTGTAACATTTTCCTACCCCCTGCGTTGAGAACACCTGGAATACTGCACACAGCCCCCTCTTGGCCTATTGGAGCCAGGGTGGGAAGCAGCCAGGGTCTTCCTGGCAGAGCCAGCTGTGCTGGGAGTGAAAGCTACCTGGGGAACCCTTCCCCAGGCAGTAGTAGTTGGGGCCCAGCCTCTCAGCTCTCCCCATTCCCTCAACTCCATCTATTCCTCCTGGCTATGGGCCTAAAGTTTGGACAGAATGTGTGATGGCTCCCTAAATGTATGTGCTCCGCATGCACATGTGCACATCATTTTGTGTGTATTCCTAAGTCTCCTCCTCTGGAAGGGCAGATTCTTATTGCTGGTCCCAGCAGCTTACCAGCCTCAGGCTGGTGTGGCGTGTGGGCTCTACATGGCCAGCAGCCATCCTGCAGGAGGACTCTGAGGGGCAAGTCTCTCTCACAGACTGTATGTTCTCTTGGGCTTTAGCCAAGTGCTTCCTTACTGCTCAAGTCCAAGTCCCGGGAGTGCTTCTGAGGTGTTCTTCTTCCCCATCTGGCCTGACCCCCAGGTCCGCTTCCATCACACTCTTTCTCACAGTTGTTTTCATTGATTGCTCATCTCATAAACTTGCTCTGAACTTGGCTTTCCACCAGCTTCCTCTGTCGCCCTCTGGCCTCATCCACACGGTCACGGGCTAGAAAATCAATAAAACTGCTCATGACTGCCAGCAGGAAGCAGCAGTGGGAGTGGTGGTCATGGAGTTCCTCAGCCTCTAACTTGGCAGGTGCAGTGCGTGGGAGCCAGGACAGCCCTGGCAGGGAGGACAGAAACTGCATAGGAGAGCCCCTGGCCCAGGGCTCGTTACTGTGCCACTCTGAGGAGCGGCTTTTCTTCTTTTGCAAAAATATTTATTTGGAAAGAATGAGGGAGAGAGAGGAGAGAGAAGAGGAGAGAGAGAGAGAGAGAGAGAGAGAGAGAGAGAGAGAGAGAGAGAATCTCCTGGTTTGCTCTAGGAGCCTGGAAATCCTCCATCTGGGTCTTCTAAGTGGGTGTAGAAGCCCAAGGACTTGGGCCATCTTTTGCTGCTTTCCAGGTGCAGTGAAAGTGGAGCAGCAGGGAATTGAGCCAGCACCCATGCGGGATGCTGGTGTCTTAGACAGAGGCTTAATTCACTGTCCCACAACACTGGTTCCCAAGGAAGGACTTCTCTAAACTGCCTTGACCTAGCTCCCCGTTGTATCCAAGGGCATGTTCCTTTTACTCCAGCTCAGCTTGGGAAACAACAGCCCTACCATCTTGCTACCCATGTTTTTCCAAGAGAAAACCAATATTTGCTTCCAAGATGAGTATCATTTTTGCAGTGAATGCACTTTTCCAAGCTTTTTGCATTTTATCACCTTCCTATACTTGAAGGAAAAGATTCTGCTGTTCCTGCACAGTGCGTGCTGAATGAGCTGGGAAAAGCGGAGCACATAGAACTCGTGTGAATTCTCTTGTGTTGGTTGTTACTGCTCAGTTCATGCTGCTGGCTGAGGCTCGGGAACCTAAGCTGTCTTTCCAGTTTCTTTGTTCTTCAGGGGGTCTCATGAAGGTTTCTCTAGGTGAGTTGGTTTATGGTTGCTATTCCAGCTTCACTTGCCTATAGGGCAGGCAAGAAGACAAGGATAGGGCACAAGGGTTTATCTTGGCAAGTTATGTACCCATGGTCCGCACTGGATCACCTGGGTCTGATTCCTGGCTTTAACTTCCTTTGAATGGAGATCCTGGGAGGCAGCAGTGGTGGCTCAGGGAGCTGGGTTCCTGCCACTCATTAGGGAGATCTGCAGAGAGGGAGGGAGAGAGAGAGAGGGAGATTTTGGCTTATGCAAAGTCTACGAGGGGCAGATGTGTGGTGTGGTGGTCAAGTTGCCACTCGAGATACCCATATCTTGGCAGAGTGCCTGGTCAGATCCTGCTGTTTGACTCAGCATCTGCTGATGAGCATCCTTCAGAGCAGCAGGTGATGGCTTACGTACTTAGCTTTCCACCACAAGGGAGATATGGCAAGAGAGCCCCCTGCCTTTGGCCTGACCTATCCCCGGGCTGTTGTGGGTGTTTGTGGGGGAGGAGGAGAGTGAACCAGCAAATAGAAAATCCATGTTTGTGTCTGTTGTGCTCTCTCTAATTTTCATTCTATTTGAAAGGCAAACCTTTTTTTTTTTTTTTTTCAAATTTTAAGTACAAACCTTCTGGGTCCATCTTTTCTGGGGGGACATCTTACTAGAGCACAAAGAAGCCAGGGATAAGCTTAGAAGCAAAAGAGACAGAGTCAAGGCAATGGTAATCCCATACCCCATTCCCCAACCACGATCTCACCCTCTTGTGCCGGGATGTAGTGGCTGGGGTGGGGAAGGGGTCTGAATCTTGCCTCTAGAGAGGGAGGTGCAAGAGTTTCCGGAGAAACCAAAGGTCTTGGGTCCTGAGTCACTGAGCCACTAATCAAGTGGCTAACTGTGTGTTAGTGACAACTGCAGAAGCTCGAGGGAGGAGCAGCCAGCAGGAGGAGGGTGTGGGGGAGGAGGCGTGATGGAAGTGAAGTCTCCACAGCAGGTGGAATGCGGCGAGAAGCAGGAACATCCAAGACAT